TGCAAGCTACCTGGCATGTTCTGCTGCATAATATGGAGAGGGGCCAACATGCTGTTTACAGCCCTGAGCCAGAACTGACCCTGCTGATCTGCCCAGACCTGCCAGGAGAAGCACTGGGAAGTGTTCCCTCGTCTACAGACACAGCAGTGACCTGCAGAAAGCAACACGTGCCTACTGAATAGGTGCCAGAAACCAGCTGCTTTGCTTGCAAGTGGTCTTATCTCCTCCTCTTCTACCTCTCAACCATTTTTTTTTACATCCTCTGCTTATTCCTGCTCTCTGCGTCCTGAAGATTTTTAGGCTCAGTGAAATTCTCCCTCTGGTCACCCATAGCTGATGACTTATCCCAAATCAAGCCCCCAGCTGGTCAGCCAAGCAAGAACCTTACTGAAGGGGAGGCAAACAACTGGTTTTAATGGGTAAGAGATGGGAGCAGTTGTAAGAGGCAGCACCATCCTGTCACAGGTGCTAAAACCCTGTCACAGAGCACTCATGTGCTGCCTTTTTTAAACTCTTAACTTCAAATACATCTTATTCCTTAAATAATAATGGAAAAAAAAAAAAAGAGCAAGCTGCGTAATGCTACACACTGACTGTGTCTACATTAGCAAGTAAAATGGCACAGTAGGAGCAGATCTGGAGAGCAGACTGGTTTGCGTGCAGTACCTGACGTCTTCACTACATGGGTTTTGGGCATTGAGTTTGGATTTGCTTCAGGCCGGTCATACGGACTGAGCACCCATGGGAGTGTGTTTTCAGTTTAGTTTCATCTGAAAAGAGTCCTGTCCGCGTGCTTTGAGAGGGTTCTGCTGTGCAAACTAAAGCACCGTTAAGTGGACTTCAAAAGTACACTCCTGAGCTGAATTAAAACGCTCACGTATATGCGCTCAGTGTGAAACAAGGTGTGGGACTTTTGCAGTATTACAGACAGAAAAAGCGAATACCTTTGAAGTCAAAATATTAGGTAAGGCTTGTATTTTAACATGTCTTTTTCCTGTTGTCCCCTTCCTTTTAGTTTTAGCATTCTTATAAGAAAATGGAGACAATTGATCTGCTAGATGCTAACGAAGGTGGAGTTAACTGATCAGCAAAAGGGAGAAGAGGAAAAATAGTCTGATCTCCTCTCTTGAAGACGAAACGAAGCTAACGCATATAAAAGGAGAAATAAAGGGAGCAGAGATTAAAAGAATTTTTCTGGTGTTCTTATTTGCAGCTTTATCTCCGGGAAAAGACAGGCGTCTTAATCACCCATTCCAGAAGATGGCAAACTTGACAGCGCTATTTTTGCTTGGAATTAGTAGAACTTTCTTCCTGCCTAATCCAGCCTCTTGCTCGTTTACTTCTTTGGCTCAATTAGATTCTTGTATCTGTGGACAACCTGGGCGTTGTGCAGTGGCCCGTTACTCTCCCAAATGGCTGTGGTGAAGAAGCTGACGTCCTTTACTTCCAGTGCCGGGGTTCTCTTAACCAGAGGTCATCCTCTTGTTCCTGTGAAGTTAAAAAAAAAAAAGGAGGAATTTAGCAGCAGCCACATGTATCCGCTAATTTGTCCCTTTTATATCAATTGCTAATTCCCTTCTATAGAAAGTCTATCTAGAGGCAAAAATCAACTCTGCGTGCAGACTGCTTTTCAACGCCGTGGTGCATAGAGAAGGAGAATTACCTGGGATCGGGAGGTCACCTTCTGTTTTCTCCAGGAGTATGACAGCTGGTTTCCCACCTCGGTCCGCTCCGCCTGACGGAGCTGTGAAAGCGGAGTTTGGCAGACTGGGAGCTGCTGCGCGGGGTCCCTCGGCAGCAAGGAGCCGGGACTCCGGTCCCGTTGCTTCTGAACGGTAAAAGCAAAGCAGCGCAGCATCCTGCCGCTGGCGTATCCAAATGTGAAAGCAAGCTTGCCGGGTGGCAACGCTAACTTCAAAAACTGCTCTCCTGCTTATGCTGTGCTGATTCAGGCTGCTTCAGGAACACCGTAGTGGAGTGGGAGTACTGCCGTTGTCATTGGTAGGAACAGCTCGTTATTTAATATAAACAGTTTATGAGTGTTCAAAAACGCACAGGCCTCAGCAGGATGGCCGTCAATATTCGGTATCCACTGCCCTTTAGGGGTTAAAGTTTATATCTGCGGTGTGGAACTGCCCCAGTTGTAAAACTGAGAAAATTGCCTTGCATGCAGCAAAACCGTAACTAAATTGCAGTCCAGAGTACTAGCAAGTTGCTCTGGATATCGGAAGAATTTAGGCTGATGTCGTGACTTTTGAACTGGAACAGCACCCACATAGTACAAGACCGGGATTTAAAATTGTGGCTTTCTAAAAACATATATGCTGTGCTCTCTATTTGCAAGGGCTCATAATTGTTTCTCCTTCAGAGCAGCATTACCCAAACCACGATACGATCTCCTGTGTAGAGCTAAAGAGGAGTACGTATGACAAGTGAGACAGGTCTTTTAAAGAGTAGAAACGCTAGTTGGGGATGGGAGAAAATACATAAAATTTCTGGCTTTTAGGATCTTGAGGTACATTATAGTATTCAGTCATAATTTAATTCTGTCTACAGCAATGGCTGAAGCCAAAAATCAGATTTTTTTTTTTTTTCTGATGAAAATGGAAGGCTTTGCAAGATCATACTGATTTTTGAGAGTGGGAAATCCTTGAAAATGTGATTTTTTAAATCCATAAGTGTTCACGAGCAGCAATAACTTGTGCTTTGCCTAGATTTCTGATCTGATCTCTGATTTCTGATCTGATTTCTCCCCCTTGCTCAAAAGGGGGAAACATTTTTCCACGGTAAACCTCAGCATTTTAACTTTTGACCTAAACTGATGGTAACACTTTTTTTAACCACTTTCCATTTCACCCATCTGTTGTTGGAAAATCGACACGTGAAAAAAGTATCCCCATCTATATGTTTCTGCGTACAAGGCTGATATACAATACTACTATTTTATTTTTTTTTTAAATCATGTGAATTGCTCTAATTCTTTGAGTTACTCCTGTATTCCCCAGAGAGCCCATGTAATGAACTCTTTGCCGATTCCCTCTTTCCCAATTCCCTCTTTCAGCTGGCGTTCAGGGAAGGCAGAGGCACGTACCTCTGAGTCTGGTGTTGGAGCAGGAAGGGATAGGGAAGGTTTGGGTAAGGCATTTTGTAGGGATAAATTTGGAGCCGCTGCTGCTGAAGGGAAGAGCAAGCTGGATGACCGTGCAGGAGCGAGGTTGCCAGGCTTTGCGGGCAAAGGGCTGTGGTATGTGGGGCTGGCCGGCCGCTCGGACCGAGAAAGCAGCCTGTGGCGTGGAAACCAGCGCAGGACACAAAAGGAGGAAGGAACAGGAACGAGGAGGCAGGGAAGACCGAAAGAGGGGTGGCAAGAGGCTGAGGAAAGGGGGAGCAGCAGCTCGGTTTCACGAAGCAGCAGGTACACACCTGAGTAGAGCATCCCACCGTCCAGGATCTAGAAGGGAACCCAAAAGTCCCAAACTCTGGGACTCCCTCCCAAGGGATTTGGGGGGACAGAAAGGACCTTGAAATGGCTCCAGTCATGCCTCAGCCCGTTCGCACTGACAGACTGCCAAACATGTATTTTACATAACGTGACAGAGTTTCTCCTTTCTTCTCACAGTAGTGACTAGATTTGGCCTTGCTTATTGGAAACCTTTCATCCATCAAACGCTTCTCGGCAAAATGTGCATTTCATCACCTTTTATTACTGCTCCATATAAAACATGACTACCTACTGCTACTATTACTCCATTAGTGCAAGTAGCAGGGATCTGCTACAGATTTCAACTAGGCTAATAAGCAGTGTGGATGCCAGTATTGTGGTATGTGATGAATTACCTTTTTTTTTTGGTCAAAGAGATTGTTTTGGTTTGTTTTTAATCAGGATAAAAGAACACAAGCTTGCAAAGTAAAGCAATAAGTTATGAAATGCCAGAATTAAATTGCTTCTGCTGTCCCACTTCAGCTTGTTGTGGACATGCCTTTAGAAACACCAGTTGCGTGAACAGCCTTCACATACTCATGAGATGGACGACGCTTCCCGCGTCAATATGTATTAAAACATAATATATTTATTGTCTAATATGTGGCAATGTTTATTGCATGCTACGTGAACCTCACCTAGATGACAGAATTTAATTTACTCATGGGTTTCTGTATGGCACTTCTCACCGTACTACCAGAGTGCTTCACAAATGTTTGCTTCTCACTAGAGCCACAGATGAATAATCTGGAGGCATTCCTAAATTAGACTGGGAGCTAACACGCAGAAAATGCAAGGAAAAAAATCCTTCCACACATCCTTAGCTGTTCCATATGAAATGCTTCTGACTTTGATTTTTTCTAAACAATTACGTGCGTAGTCCCCATGGATTTTAATTACAGCTTTGTGTGCCCCGTACTTCACAAATCAGATGCAAATCTGAAGTTAGAGAGTTAGAAAAGAAAGAGTATACTACTGGACGTCAGTTGGGGAACTCCGGTGTTCAAGTTGGTCAGCATCATGTAAGAACTCATTGAGGTGGGAGCAAGGAATGTATTTTTTAGGACAATGTAATGGTATTAACCATAAAATTCCCCCCCTTCCCTCCTTTTTTTTTTTTTTTTTTAATCTAGCTCCTTGCCATATTCACTGTATTTGTCATAGAATTTGGAAATGAATCGGAGACTAAAATCTGATTCATGTATTTCAGCATTATCCATCTCATGTATTGAATGAGGCCAGAAACTGTAATTTCTTGCACTTCAATGTCAACTTTGATATAATAACGTTCCTGTTAAAGTATTTTCTTCTGTATAATATAAAGAGTAAGTCATCTGGCATCTATCCCTTGAGCTGGAAATACAGTCTCAGGAATGTACACCGTGACCTGTGTTGATGATGTATCTGTGTAAAGTACATGTTCCTAGTAACACGTTCAAGAAAGCTGTAATCTGGACCATTACCAACGCTTGTCTACACTAATTTACAACTCTTTCACCTTTTTTTTTTTTTTTTTCTTCTCTACTCAGGATATCCTTTTGCCTTGTTCCAGCGCTATTTCCTCTTCCAGAAGGAGACCTACCTCATTCATCTCTACAATGTGTTCACAGGACTCTCAATTGCTTACTTCAATTTTGGTAAGATGAGTTTGGGAAGAGAGAGCTGCCTGGCCCAGGGCGTGCTGTGGTTTGGGAGGACCAATAATGGGAAAATGTCATTTCTACTTCATCTCTCTCTCTCTTTCCCCCCTCCACAGGGATGCAGTTCTTTCATTCCCTGTTATGTGTGCTAATCCAGTTCCTCATACTGAGACTTATGGGTCGCACAATCACTGCCGTCTTCACCACGTTCTTCTTTCAGATGGTAAAACTCTCTTTCTTACTGCATCGGTTTGTAGAAAGGAGCCCTCTGTTCAGTTTTGCACTTCCCAGTAGCAACTGTGGGTGGAAAAGTGGAGACAGATCAAAACCAGCTGGAGGAATTAGTCTGAATAACCCAAACAATGGTTTCTTTCAGACATACCTTATGGCTGGATATTACTTCACAGCCACAGAGCATTATGACATCAAGTGGACAATGCCACATTGTGTCTTGACGCTCAAGTTGATTGGTGAGTGACACCTCCTTTCTATCTCTTGCACTCTGCAAGCCCTGCCTCAGGGAAGAGAGGACTGCTTGTTCAGCCCACCCAGCCCATCCCAGGGCTTCAAATAATTGTTTCTCACCTCTAGGTCTGGCCATTGATTACTATGATGGAGGAAAACAGCCGGTGAGTAAGACACCATTTCTCCTTCATTCCTTGTCCCCTCTTCCATGCCGTTCCAGTGAGCTAGGGGTCAGAAAATCAAGTTCAAAGGATGCGAGTTAGCAAGCTGCATTCATTGTTTGGTAAAAGCCATAGCTGAGAGGGGAGCATCTGAGTGTCTGAGGGCACAGAATTCTGGAGTGGAAAGGACCAATTTTGAACAGAGACAGTAGTGATCAGAGATTGAAAGTTGTTTCAGTCATGTCAGAATATTATTCTGCCCCCTTCCAAATTTCCCACCGTCTCCTTCCCCCAGATCTGTTGCTTTAGATTCCCAATCCCCAATGCTCTGTGTCTTGTGGGTAGCGTACCTTTAACTTGCAGACCATCAGCACTGGATCTCAGTTCCCATCTTCCTTTCCTTTGTTTAATCTTACCATATCCTTGTGAGTGGTTGCCCTTTATCATTTGTTAGGGCCCTGTTTTTAGAGCAGATGAAACAGTGAGGGAAGCACAATGTGTGGCAGAGGGCAGAACACTTGCTGCAGTCTTTTAATCCCACTTCAAGTATTTGCATTCCCCATCTCCTGTTTGGGGCCTGACCCAGTCTTTAGCATCTGTGGAATCGCTGCTGACTGCAAGAAAGCAAGGTTGAGCTGAAATTTCCTAAGCTGAAGTTCCAAGTCTTTAAAGACAATGAATTCTTGCATCAAGAAGTAGGAATTGTAGGACGGTAAGGTCTTGGGAGAGTACAGGCGATTGCAGTCGGGGACTGGAATAGGTCAGATACAGTGCCTTTACTATGCCTGCTATGCTGGCAGGGATGCAGGTCAAGAGATCCCTTCCATGTTTTGAGCTTATTTGGGAATAGAGATCTGTGCAACTGGTCTCAACCATTGGATCGTGTTGGTATTTAGAGGGGGTGGGGATAGAGAGGGCTGAGGAAGAGGAATGGACGTGAAATACAAAGTGGAAAGTTCCATATACATGGAGAGCAAAAACTGAGACCATTAAGGAGGTAGGCTGAGAACATAACATCCAGAGCTAGTATGGGATCCCCTAGGATGATGTTAATGCCACTCCCTTTGGTGCAGGAGTTCCTGACCCCTGAGCAGCGGCGATTTGCTGTCCGGGGAGTTCCTACCTTGCTGGAGGTCTCAGGATTCTCCTATTTCTATGGTGCCTTCATGGTGGGGCCTCAGTTCTCCATGACAGACTATCAGAAACTGGCAAGGGGTGAGATGACTGACGTTCAAGGCCAGAGACCCAATAGGTAATAAAAAGCCACTTAGCTCCTCGCCTTCCTAAGATCCCAGAATGCTGAATCCTCCACATGTTCCCTGCAGCAGAGTGCCCTCTTACCTGGACACTGAAGCACTGTGACCAAAAGCGATTTATAAGACAAGGCAGTCTTTCAAAAGTTACTCATAACTCTCTGTGTAATGTCCTAGCATCGTTCCAGGGCACGAACGTCAACAACCATTTGACATCTTTAGTACAGACTCAGTCCCAACCTGGTAATGTTAGCATCCCAACTTCCAAACGGAGGCATCTGCTGCAGCGGAACATGGTGACTCCCCATCGCTATCTCCCCTACCTCCTCTTCTCCACTGCTGTTTATAAAATTATGAGTTTGACAGTCTCTTTCCAAGGCTTTTCTTTGACGTTCATATTTTTCTTTCTCAGTTTTGTGCCTGCTCTCAAGCGCCTGAGTTTGGGTCTCTTGTTTCTAGTAACCTATACCTTGTCAAGCCTGTACGTCTCCGATGAATACCTCATCTCAGATGATTATATGGTATGTGTTCATTTGGCAGTCCTGGGGTGTGGAAGAAATCCACTTCTCTGGTGGGCACTGGATCTACAAGAGTGGATTTTTATTTTTTTTTTTTTAGTTTTGCCTCAATTTAAAAATAGGATAAGTCAGCAACTAGCGATAAGCCTTTCCACAACTGAATGGGCTTTACTGCCTGTCCTGTGGATTCTGTTTGATGCAGAACAGGAATGTGTTAAGCTGACCCGAACCAAAAGAAAACTTTTACAAATAGAGAATTAATCTTAAATGCTACTGTTGTTTTTGGAAACCTAACATATGTATTTTGTGGCCTTTTAATGACCTTCCATTTAACCATTACATGCAAAGAACTTCACTAGAGTAACTTGCAAGGCTTACCAGAACCTTTGAGGTTCTTAGAAAACTCTTAACAAGTAATTCCTACCTGCAGATTATCAGTGCTTCTGTGTCAGTATGAATAAACGAGGGTGTAAATTCCGCAGGGATTATGCTCATCCCAGAGTCTTCCCAAAGTACCTATTTCAGTACAGCCAAATATGACCAAAGAAAGGAGAACGATGTGTAAATTTTCATAAGCCTGGCACTCCAGTCCATGTAGCAGTCTCAACACACACACCAGATTAAAACAAAAGACACTGATGAGATCTCATCTACCTTGTCTCATTATTGCCACTCGACTCCATTTTTAATTTTTATTCTATTTCACTCTTGTCTCTGCAGGAGAAGCCTTTCTGGTTCCGCTGTGGTTACATATTGATCTGGGGCAAAATTATACTCTATAAATACGTAACCTGCTGGCTTGTTACGGTGAGTCTAGATATTGTTCCAGAAACAAAAGACAAATGAACAAAGGTAGCACCTTTGTAGCTACTTAGTATGGTCTTGGACTCAGCGCTAAATGGAAGTAATCTAAATATCTGGAGATCAGTGCAGGTCAGTTTAGCTTGCTTTGAGTTAGCAAAGGCTAGCTAACTAAAAAGCAGGCCGTTTTTAATCCATTTGTTCCATCTGCAGTGGTATCTCTCCACTCAACACAGTAAGATTCAGAGCTTCCCCAGCTCTGCATTTCCCAAAAAAAAAAAGGGGCAATGGTTTCCTCTCATCTTTCTTGTGAATCTTTTTCTATAGGAAGGTGTCTGCATCCTTGTTGGTCTGGGGTACAATGGGAAGGACCAAAGTGGAAAGCCTTTGTGGGATGCCTGTGCCAACATGAAGATCTGGCTGTACGAGACAACACCTTTGTTCACAGGGACCATTGCTTCTTTCAACATCAACACCAACGCTTGGGTGGCCCGGTGAGCAGGACAAAATTCCCCTTCTATAATGTGTCAGTAACGTCTGTCAGCAGAACCAAGATCCTAGGCTGAGAGGGAGCACTAGAGGAAGAATCTGCCAGTCTTCAGGTCTTTCTTACACGCTTTCTTCCACGTTTTGCTGCTGTCCCATTTGACCCAGGTTACTGGGTTAGACGGATCTTTTCATTCGATCTAGAAAGGCAGTTCATTAATACAGGCAAGCAGTTGATGGCAGCAGGAGGGCAGAGGCTAGGACGCTCCCTGTGCAATGACTCAACCGGGTTTTGGTTCGACACGTGCTGGGGGACAAAACTGAATTGTAAAATACCTTCGTTTCTGGGTGCGTTGTCGGATGAACCACTTCACATTAGCCGGGATTTAAGGCAAGGGCTGAGGTGCGTTTTGCCCTGGTAAGGGGAGCTGTGTTGCTGTTTCTGTCACCACGGGGTGTGCAAAGGCATATGGTCCCCTGGGCCCTGCACCTCTGACATGGAGAGGACGGACAGTTAACTAGAAGCACTGTGAGTTTGTTTTTCTGCTCTAGCTACATCTTCAAGCGTCTGAAGTTCCTGGGTAACAAACTGCTGTCACAGGCGCTGGCCCTGTTCTTCCTGGCCGTTTGGCACGGGCTGCACTCTGGCTACCTGGTGTGCTTTCAGATGGAGTTGCTTATAGTCATCGCTGAAAGACAGGTGAGCTTTGTCCGACTTAACCAGAACGGGGTGGCCTGCGTTAGCCTTTCCCCGCGCGTCTGGAAACTGCCATGCTGAAGGCTTTGCTTGGATTAAATATGAAAAAGAGCTGCTCACTTTGGAATTGGTGTTCAAACACGATACGGTTCTGTTCTCAAGAGTTCAGTAGGTCAGTGGCTTCTGCACGGGCCAGCTGTAAATTTATTGGAGAAGCTGACAGGAAGAAAAGTGGAGAACTTCGCATATGAGTAGAGGGCAACTGAAGTGCTTGGCAGCTGGCAAGGCTGGAGGACAAGCACGTGAGCTGAATGCCTCTGCTAAATCTGCCAGTACTGAGAGAACCATATTTCATATTTAAACTTTTTTTTTTTTTTTTTTTAAATTAAAACTTTGAGCAGGATGGGGTACTTAGCTACTTTTTTAGACTGACTGCTTACTAAAATTCATTTTACACAGCTGGATAGATACTTTGGCCCCAGAGCCTGTGTATATAGCCCTAGGACATCCAACTCAGGAGAATTCTGTTTTTTCTCTCTATTAGGTCATAAACCTCGTTCGGGACAGTCCTCTCCTAAGCACTTTGGCCTCCATCACTGCCTTGCAGCCCATCTTCTACGTGCTGCTGCAGGTTAACCACTGGATGTTTATGGGTTACTCTCTGGTGCCATTTTGCCTTTTCACCTGGGACAAATGGATGAAGGTACTTAGCAGCCACATACAGACAACCCCTCCTTTTCCCTCCCTGCCTTCTCGTATGTTCTTGGCTCAAAGCTGCTTGCTGATCCTTAAACTTTTCTCTTTACAGGTGTACAGGTCTATTTATTTCCTCGGCCATGTGTTGGTCTTCACCCTATTATTGGTGTTGCCTTACATTCGCAGGTTAATTGTGCCACGAAAAGAAAAACTAAAAAAAGCAGAATAACAGCCAAAAGGTAAGGCTGTACGATGTGGAGAGAATCCCACACTCGGCCTAGGAGCTGAAGCGGGGCAGCAGTTACATCCCAAGGTGAAAAGCAACCATAAAAACAACCGACACGAATCTAGCACTTTTCTCTGTTTCAGATTGTACCACCTGTGCATTCGTAGGAGTCGATTTAACACTCCAGAAGCAACGCATCACCTGCCAAGTTTGCTGTGTTGAAGTACGACTTTTTTTCAACGCGAGGAGGGGGAAAGAGAAAGCACAGGGTCAGAGACCCGAAAGGAGGGGAACGGAGGAAGCCTCCTTCCAGATCCTCCACCTTCTGTATGTTGCCTTATCTCTCTGCCGCCCTCCCGCGGACACTCGTGTCTCTCTGCTGGTATCAGATGATTGTAAAACACTCAACGCAAGCACTGCATCGGATTGGAGCCACCTTCTGACTTTTCTACGTTTGTCATCCGAGATAAAAATTGCTCCTGGTCTTTTTCATATCGGCTTCGGCTCCTTTCCTCTTGGGCGCTTCGGTGCGGGAGTGTGAACTGTCGCACGCCACTCACTACAGGACTGAGTCACTTCAGCTGCAGGGCGAGCAGGGCACAGCTAAGAATTGTTCAGTTCCATGACAAATTTGGGCTGAGTCCCTGCTATAAAGGGATCAAGCCTGCCCACGTATTAAACACGAGAAAGTAAAATACACAAGCACTCTTATCAAAAGTAACCTTTAATAGGAAGGAAAAAAGGTTGGTGGGGCAGTCCGTTTCGAGTCTCATTGCTCCAGAAGCTTCAAGGATGAAACTGAAACCTTTTTCCTTTGAGGAGCCCAAAGCTGCACCAGGTCCACACGTCAGTAAAAGAGCTTCTCCAGGACGTGGAGTCACTGTACAGCAGTCCACCGTGACAGCAGTAGCAGAAGCTCATACTACTCCCCAAACTTCCTCAAAGGCAGTAGTAATTTTAGCACATGTCAGGGCAGCAGAGAGGGGATAGTTGCTGATGGAGACTGTCTTTTCTGTGTAGTCAACATTGACCTAGAGGAAGAGAGAGGGGGGGAAAAAGGAAAAAAAAAAAAAAAAAAAAAAAATCAAGCTACAAGTTTTCACTTAGTCCCATCTATCTCCATTGGTGGGAGAGGCAGGGTATTTCTCCGAGGCTGAGCAGAGCCACAATAAAACACAGCAGGACAACTGCTAGCCCTCACTAGTGCCCTCTCTCAGGAGGGAGAAAAGTCCCTACTGTTGCAGCGCTGGGCCTTTTTTTTTTTTTTTTTTTTTACAAGCCTACCTGGGGGGAAAAAAGAGGGGGCGGGACAAGGGGAACCAAGCAAAAAAAGTGCAGAAGGGAAAAAACCCCCACTCATGCTCAGAACAAGACTGATAAAGATTTTTACAACTCTAAGTAAGGGATACACGCACTTACCGAACCATGGGCGAAAGCTCCCACCACAATGGCAACTGGCTCTGCTGCAGGAACCAGTTCACGCAGATCTGACACCTTTGGAACTGCAAAAGAGGTTCCTATCTTCATACAGCCCACAGGGAGATGATCGCTGACTGGATTTTTAATCACCTACAGGAAGCAGGAAGTTAACAGGGGTGCAGAGGTAAGAGACCCTGCCACATAGCTAAGTCCTTGGGTTGTTTTTAAAAAAAAAAAAAAATATCACTCCTACATCACTAGCTGCAAAGGAGGAATGTTGCGCCATTACCTGTGAACAGTCAACGAATGTTTACCTTCAGCAGTTTCTGAGGCCCGTCAGCTGCTCGAACGCTGAGCTTATGCAGCAACTGAACTGACGAGAGAAGGAAATTTGTTAAGCTCTCTATTCTTTTGCCAGAGGAATCCTGTCCTCTACCTAGTGTCCAGAACTAAAGTAGACAAAAAGGTTTATCTTTAGAGTTCCCTGCACCTTCTAAAGCAGTCCTACGAAATATTGATCAGCCAATTATTTTGCTGCTGGCATAGTCCCCTGCAGGCACTACCCACTGTGCTAAGGGACACACAGTTGGCCTACGCACCCTGGAACTCACAAAAGGACACTTTTATTTCTCTGCTCTTTTCTCACTTTCACGTATTTAAGGTTGGTGCAACTTTTTGACTTTCCCCAAAATTCTTCTACTCTTAACCACCTTCCTGCATTATTTTGTGGCTGGTATAAAGTTTGAACCACTTACCCATAAGACCACAGAATCGATCAAAAGTTCTTGGGATTCTGGTTTGGGGATTGACTTCGATTAGAACATTCTTCTGGGTATGGATATAAACCTGCAGGAGACCAGCCCGGTTCAGGGGGCTGTCCATGAGCATCAGGAGACTCTGAAATAGAAAAACACACAGTAGTGGAAGTAGAAAAGGTGCCGGAGAGAGGACTCTTAGAAAACTTGAAGGTTAGGCCCTATGAATGCAGAAGGGACCGATGCTGAGGCAGAAAGGAGTTCATCTGGCTGTGCGAGCTCCACTGTCACGCCGGGAGAAAGCGATCCCACATCCAAGTAAAGATTATTACTAAACTTACAGCCCACGAGCACAGCGGGTAAGGCCAAACTCACCCCCGTTCCAGGGGCACGAGCAGACCCCCAGAGGGAGGGACAAGCTCCCTCAAGCCGCCGCCCCGGCCGCCACAGACGCTTCCCCGGTGCAGCCGGTACCTGGTGGGTGATGTCGGGCCGCACCTCCCCAGGATCCCGGCCGTTCCGCAGCAACAGGGCCTTGTGCTTATCGCAGTTGAGGAGCTCGAACGTTTTCCCCACCTAGGGCCAAAGCACGGAAAGGTGGGCGAGGCCGCCCGCCGCCGCCTTCGGCCCGGCCGGACCCCCCCGCCGCACGCCCGCACCTTCACGGGCTCCAGACTCGCCCCCTCCCGCCCCAC